TGGAAGGTAAGTTTTGAATTAAGCCATTTGAGCTGATTTTCTTCAAGGTGGAGTAACTAAAATGACCAAGTCTTTTGTGCCATAAAACAGAATCATCTACTGAACTTGGAAAAGCATGCATAGCAGGTTGCTTCCATTCTATTGGAAAACTCTTATCTTTCATTCTGATAGACATTAGCTCACACCCAGAAGGATCAAATATGGTGCATTTCATGTCTTCAAAATGCAAAGTATAATTCTTTTCAAGCATTTGTCCCACACTTAGAAGATTTTGATTTATCTCAGGCACGTATAAAACATCTGAAATATATTTAGTACCTGAGGAAGTTTCTACAGCAATAACTCCTTTGCCTTTAACTTCAACACTTTCTCCATTGCCAACAGTGACTTTTGAGAAGTGAGACTGATCCAATTCCTTGAAAATACTTGCATCATTTGTCATGTGATTTGTGCAACCACTGTCTATAAGCCACACCTCCTTGCTCCTGTTTGCTAAATAACAAGAAGCAACAAATAAATGCTCCTTATTTTGTTCTTCATGCTCAACAACTTGGGCTTGCTGTCCCTGTTGTTTTGCTTTGCTTTTGCACACTTTCTCCACATGACCAAGTTGGTTGCATGCCCTACATTTGACTCATGGTCTAAACCAACAGAAATTTTCTGTATGATTCTTCTTCTTACAGTAAGAGCAAGGTGGATACTTATCTTTCCAACCTCCTCCTCTGTTGCTTTCTTCTTGTTTTTTTTCCCTTTCTTCCCACTAAATGGCTTTTTCCCACAACTACTGGTGCCTTGAAATTTGCCTTTGGTATTTACCACAAAAGCACCTTCAACATTTTCTTCCATCCTAAAGGATCTTCTCTGTTAAGCTTGTAAAGCATTTACAAGTTCTGAAATTGATATATGAGAAAAATCCTTATTTTCTTCAAGAGAGGAGATTTTTGACTCAAACCTCTCCGGAAGACATACCAATATTTTCTCCACAACTCGTTGATCACTGAGTTCTTCACCCAATAATCTGATTTGTGTGACCACTTTAGAAAATCTGTCAGCAAACTCCTTCACTGTTTCAGCTTCCTTCATTTTGATGGTTTCAAATTCTCTTCTCAAATTTAGCACCTTCATCCTTCTTGTTCTTTCACTACCTTGGAACTCCTCCTTAAGTTTGTCCCAAGCCTCTTTTGCTGTATCAAGATTCAAAATCTTGATAAAAACATCATCATGTACAGCTGCTTGTATGATGGCAAGTGCTCTGCCTTCTTTAGCCACTTCATCACTATGAAATCTTACCTGAGCCATTGTTGGGTTGTCTGGTAAAGGAGCTGGGTTGCTTCCATTTTCCACGACTTCCCACAAACTTTGAGCTCTAAGATAAGTTCTCATCTTTGCAGCCCACAAATCATAATTTTCTCCAGCAAATACTGGAGGTGGGGGTAAGGAATTGCTACCGGAAGCCATTGGTTGAAGGTTTTTTGAGTGGGTTTCTTGCTGGTTTTCTCTCACACGCAGAAACTCTGTTTTTCAGATTTTCTTTTTCTCCCTCACAGACCCTAAAAGATCAATGAAGCTCTTGATACCATGATGAAAAATGAAAACAGAATGATAGGAAGAGTGGAGAGCAAAAACAGAGCAAGACAAGTTCTTAGTGGGCAATCTATTTTTCATTCACGTTTTTCTTCATATATGCAAGTTACAATACAACTTCTGATGTTTCAAGCTTAGTATTCAAAAAATGCATTCATTGTTGACTTAGTTGTACTACCCACTTTTACCTACTGCATATTTACCAAAAACATACACCAAATCACCTAATTTTCACCTAAAACAGATTGCTGTCAAAACAAGCACAGTACAACAGATTTTGTATTCAAAAAATCAAGAAAATTCTCAAAGTCTAACAAATATATATAAATAAAACTTTTTGTGAAGGGACCAACTGAGAGACAAGGGCATATGGTTATGTCTTAGGGGGCTCATCCATGAATCAACACATATTATTGTAGATATATATTAGAAGTCCAACCATCTGATGTGAAAGCCATTAGTTTACCCTATTATCTAAAAGAAAGTCTATCTAAAAGAAAGTCTAATCGGATGATTACAACACTTATTTGGGGCAGATGGGACCGCAAACTTCATGTATGCAATGTTCACATGGTGGTGCTTAAATTTTGGAATACACAAAAAATGTGGTCATTGTGCCTTTATGATCATGTGTTCAACATCGGTTCTTTTCCACTTCCAAATTAAGTCGAGTCTGATATTAGCTTGTGGATGGTAGTTATATTAATAGCATTATTTTTTATCTAAAGGAACATGAGTGATGTCTAAAGCATGTCTACCATTATAATAGCTAGAACATTAGCTAGCTTTCACCATTGCTGTCGTCTGATTTCAAGTGGGAAAATCTGTTGGCCATTATCTCAGAAGGTGGGGTATGCACGCACGTTGATCTTCCTAATCCATGAAAGAGATATCTACGACAATACCATGTGATCCCATGTCTCTCGGTAGACTCCATAATAGTCCAGCCAAAAATCATTAATTGTGGTTTTGGATTGCAAAGGCCATTGACAACTATATATATAGCATTTCTTTGGTTCTCAAGCAACACAAGTCATTCCAATCCATTCCTCAAGTATCAAAATCCAAATATTTCCTTGTATACAAGTCTTTTGACATCAATATATTATTTATTGTGTGAAGCAATATAGAAAGCAATGGGTTTCCGCATAGCAGGAATTATTAGACGAGCATCCTTTTCTAAAACCGAGGCATCCTCCAAGGGGGTTGAAGTACCAAAAGGCTATCTTGCAGTGTATGTTGGACATAAGATGAGGCGCTTCGTAATTCCAGTATCATTCTTGAACCAGCCTTCATTTCAAGAATTACTTGGTCAAGCAGAGGAAGAATTTGGATATGATCATCCAACCGGTGGTCTCACAATTCCATGCCAAGAGGATGAGTTCATAAACGTTACCTCTCACTTGAATTATTTGTAAATCATGCTAATGGAGTCTGAGATAGGTTAGGTGAGGCACATTTGTACAGAAGGACTTTTCTTTTGTTGTAAAGATTTTTCATTTTGTTATTTTGTAGAATTCCATTTTGAAGTAAGAATGTTGCTGAATGAGAGTGGAGCACAAGAAATTGTTAATTTTCTTTTTGCCAATTCTCAATGAATTCTAATATATACAACAACATGAATATCAAATTTCTGTCCATATATATTATGGCAATTATCTTTTAATAGGGGATTAAGTGAACTAATTCTACAGGAGATATTACCAATCCGTATATCGGTCAATACTGTATTGTCTTATTTCAATAATAATATCCATTAGCCAAACAAGGAACACACAACACATTTGTCCTGAAACAGGTTTAGCCACTTGTTGCTAGATTTTCGATAATATGTGGTTCATTCAGTACCTGACCTGCAGCTTTCAAGATCGAAAACCTCAAGGTAATATGGTGCTCCTTCCAATGCAATCCGCGCTGCAAATCATTATTCATTTCATGCAGATAGTCAATTGTTTAGTTTTGAAGTAATTAAATGTCCTTGTGTGTGTATGGAGTGAAAACAGGAAACTTGTTGATTAAGTGATTGCAAAGACCTAAATAAGAAAAACTGAAAAAACCTTCAAGGGTTCATTTGTATGCCATCTCCCCAAGAGATACTACTCTACAGTGTTGGTGGACTTAATTGTTGGAGGGATATGCAATTGCAGATCAGGAGGAACGGTGGACTCCAGAGTAGTCAGTTACAAGGTTTGTGAACGAATAAAAATATGATTTTGCAAGTATACCAAAAATAAATTGGCAAGAATCTATCTAACAACTTAGAATAAAGGGTCATGAGAAAATTCAGGAAATAAATGGTTGCCATAATCTGTGTATAAATTTCTGTCAGGGTAGATTTTACAAATCAATAAGTAAAAGAACATATATAAAATATTTTCAATGTTCAACTATGTCTTCTGTACAACATTGAAATAGTCATTGAACACCAGGACTGTTAGATAGCCCTTTGGTACATGACTGCACCTTTGAAGACCAGGCAAATGGAAACTTATTCCAGATCAAGAGAATGATTTGAAGTTTTGAACAGACTTGTGTAGGAATGAAGTATTCTATGTTTCAGAAATGCTAAGGACTCGACTTGTTTGTGACTATATCCATGACCATTGGTATATATAGATTAAGAGAGGGCCTTGGAATACCATTATATAAAGAAATGAGGTCAGTGTAAGGCACAGAAGTGAAAGATCACATGGCACATGCTCTACCGAGGCCCTTATATTAGCAACTACATAAGCATTATTCTGTGGGTTCTGAAAATTTTTGCAATATGAATTATAAGAAGTTAATAAGACTCATGATACAATTATTTGGTTTTTATGTGAACTCTGAAATAAGATAACAAAGGGATTCTAGTTAGCAGAGATTTTGGACAGTCTTCATTTTCTGTATGAGCAACTTCCTAGGGGTTGTAGTACCAATTAATTCATTGCAGTCAATGTTGGAGAGAAATTGAGGTGGTTTGTAATTCAATTTCGATATCATACTTGAACCAATCTTCTTTTCAAGCTTTACTACCGGAGAAGAAGAATTTGAACATGAATATCCAATTGGTGATCTCAGAATTACATTCACGGAAGATGAGTTCCCATGCCTCACTTCGTGATTGATCAGGCTGTAACTATTGGAGAATGAGAGATCATATATTTTTCTCAGTTAAATTTGAACAGAATGAACTTTTATAACATAAATGAGTCAACTATAAAGTACCTATTGTTTAGTTGTTAAGGAGAGTTTTATTGGGAGGATGTCATAAAATTCCAAGTTCATTTATGTATGCGTGATCAGGGCCTTGGCATCCCAAATATTTGAGTTGGTATGCATTGCGCAATGTAACTAATAAACTGAAATAGGCCACTTGATTAGTGGAATACTGGAATTCATTGATAATCATAAAAAACGAGAGAGAGAAAAAAAGATAGGAACAAATTCGTCATTCTAATGGTCTTTTCATTTTTCCAATTTCTCAAAAAGGGGTTATCTTTACATATTGAGATGACTAATGTAAAAAATGTCTATACAAATCTTGGTCAGTCTTCTACGGTACTAGACTTGTAGTCAATTAAAGGTTGAAGTTATGTCTTGGAAGACCTCCACGCTGCATGGAATTGTAAGTCCACCCATGGGATGATCATATCCAAACTCTTCCTCTGCTTGACTCAACAAGTCTTGGAATGATGGCTGGATCAAGTATGAAATGGGGATCACAAACCGCTTCATTCTCTCTCCAACGTACACTGCAAGATAGCCCTTTGGTACCTCCAAAGCCCTAGAAGATGCTTGGTTTGCAGCTACTGATGCCTTTCTGATACTAGGTAATCGAAAACCCATTGTTATATTTAAGAGGCTGAGACTTGATGAGAAGAAAATGGTCTAAAAAGGACTTGAATATTCAGGCTTAAGAATAATTCAAATGCTTTAGGCTGTGAATGTTTTATGTTTGTTCCAAAATGCTAGAAACCATGAATATATATAGATAAAAGATATGTACGAAGTCTACTTGAATTATTGCTGAATGAAGGGTGTGGGATAGGAATAGGAATCATGAGACCAACTAAGACACAAGATCACATGGTACTGTCTTTGAGGACTGTCTCATGAGTCAATGTTACAGGTTATGGACTTATGGTAGATAATACAAGTCCCACCATCTGGAGTGAGAGCTTTCCGATTACGCCACCCAAAATAAAACACATGCTCATGCATGCAAGTTCACATGGTGGTGCTTAATATTTGACGTACACAAATAATGTGATGCATAGTGCTTCATGACTACGTGTTCAATATCGGTTCTCTTCTAAATTACCTCCAATTCCAGTTGTGCCTGCTCATGGTTTTCAGTCTGAATTAATTGGTGGATGAAAGATATATCACATGTTTTGTCCTTTATTTAAAGAAAAATGTGATATGTCTAAAGCATGTCTATCATTGAAATAGCTATTGCATAATGAATGAACAAGCATTGGGCTTCGTATTTGTTGATGTTGATGTCTTTAATTTCAAGTGGGCAAATGTGTTGGCCATTACCTCAGAAGGTAGGGTATACACTCCCGTTGAACTACCTAATCCTTAAAAGAGATCTTTAAGACAGTACCATGTGATCCCATCTCTCCTGGTAGACTCCATCATAGCCCTGCCAAAAATCATTAATCGTGGCTTTGGATTAGTGTCCAATGCCAATTATATATACAACATTTCTTGGGTTCTCAAGACACACAAGTCATTACATTCCTAAGGTACCAGAAATCAAATATTTCCTTCTTATATAAGCCCTTTGACATTAGTATACTATTTGTTGTGTGAAGAAATCGAGAACGATGGGTTTCCGCATAGCAAGTATTATTAGACGCGCATCGTTTTCTACAACAATAGCAGCCTCCAAGGGCGTTGAAGTACCAAAAGGCTATCTTGCAGTTTATGTTGGAGATAAGATGAGGCGTTTTGTGATTCCTGTATCGTACTTGAACCAACCTTCATTTCAAGAATTACTTAGTCAAGCCGAAGAAGAATTCGGATATGATCATCCAACTGGCGGTCTCACAATTCCATGCCAGGAGGATGAGTTTCTAAATGTCACAGCTTGCTTCAATGATTTGTAAATCTTGCTAATGGGTACGTAGATTGATTAGATGAGGATACTTGTACAGAAGGCACTTTCTTCTATATTGTAAAGATTTTTCATTTTGTTATCTTGTAGAATTCCATTTTGAAGTTTAAACCTGTTGCTGAATGAGGATGCAACACAAGACATTGTTTAAACACATTTTGCCTTTTCTGAATCTCAATGAATTCTTATATATACAACAGTATAATTATCCAATTTCAGTCCACATATATCAGGTTATTATCTTTTAATAGGAGTTAAGTGCATTAATTCTATTGGACATATATACCAATCTTGATTATGGTCATTACGGCTGCCTTATTTTATTTCAAAATCCGAACAAGGAACACCTACACATTTGTCCTCAAATCGATTTTGCCACTTGTTGCTAGATATTTTTATGATATGTGACTCATTCAGTTCCTGATCTCCACTTTTTTAATATTTTGTTACTGCTTCCTTCTTGTATTTCAATGTTTGTCCTTGAGCTGAACGTGGAACACCCAACACTTTTATCCTGAAACATTAGCCACTTGTTCCTTAATTCTTGTATATTTATGGCTTATTATAGTTCCTGCTATTAGCAACACATTATTTTGTCTTTAGTTACTTAAGTACTCTTTTTCATTGCACCATCAATCCAAAATCATCTCCATTTTCTAATAGCGGGTCGTCAAATCTTCTATTTTCCTAAACAAGCAACAGCATCACATGGATTATTAATTGACTTTTTATCAGTAATAGAAGATATTGTCAATTTTAGTGGGAAGATCTACACAGAATCAATGATTACCCAAATATTGTGCTTCTAACACTCTCTGTGGCCTATAATATCTCCCTTTTCTACTTATTTTGGCTTTCTAAATTTAAACCGAGAACTTAGATCTCTGATATTTAAAAATAATGACTCCATTATCAATATCTGTCTCAATATTTTGGGATCACCTTTTATAACATAAACATTAGTTAACTGTTGTTGACCTAGACTTATTGTTTAGCTGTTAAGGAAAGTTTTATTGGAGAGTGGTATAAACTCTTTATGCTTAAACTTCTTGTATTATAAGATCACAGGTTTATTTATATAACAAACAAAGTCATAGAAATGCATTGGTTTAAATAAACCTTGACACATGTCATATATTTGTTGTTAAGAAACCGAGTCATAGTGGATGGATAAACAAAAGGTAAGTTGAACAAAAAATGGCAACCATGGTTTTAAATTGCGGACCGCAACACGTGTTGCGGCCGCAATATTGCTGTTGCGGCCTTGTCCGCAACGGCATCGGACCGCAATTGCGATGATACTGGAAATCACACATTTTTTCGCAACGTAACGGTGTTGCGTCCGCAACACATCTGCAATGTACTGCAATACATCCGCAATACGATAAATTGATACTATAATTTTAAAATAAATTAAATTATTCATTAAAATAATAGAATATTTCAAAAAAAAAGGAATTAAAATGTATAAATCCTTAAAAATAAAATATATATTGATAATTATAAATTTTTTATATTTAGTGAAAATAATTAATAATCTCACATCGCAACAGCCGCAATCCGCATCGCAATACCCGCCCGCAACCGCAGTAACTGCAACCGCGACCGCAACCGCAATTTAAAACCATGATGGCAACATTAGAATTGTATTAATAATACAAGGTTCTCTGATGGAGGAGGCTCTTGTTTCTCTGTATTATTACATTGGAGTCTTTGAAGCCTATTTATAGAGTTGCACTATATATATGTAGGTTATCAAGAGGAATCATGCTCTTCACATGCTCGGTCATGATAACTTGTAGGGAACTTTGTTTGCTATACTTAATCCTCAAATGTTTATTAATAAAAAAAATAATAACTATGCCCCAAAAATATTAATCATTCTACTTGCTCCATGTAAAAGATAATTTTTCTCTTCCCTTGCTAGGAATAACGACTTCTATTCATGCTTTAAAATTTATCGGAACAACCAAGTCTGGTTTTTCTATATATCAAGCTACCTTGCTTATACAGGGTGAAGTGGACGTTAGCAATGTAAATAATAAACAGAAATCACAGAGGAGCCACATGGGTAGTTCAAATCATTGTCATTAAACTATAAAAGAAGCAGCAATTTTTTCATTCTATTGGTCTTTTCCATTTTCCTATTTCTCCAAAAGGGGTGATCTTTACAAATTGAGAAGTGCCTATTGTACAAAATGTCTCTACAAATCTATGTCAGACTTCTACAGTACGAGATTTATAAACCATTCAAATGTGAAGTTATGTTTTGGAAGACATCTTCGCTGCACGGAATTGTGAGACCACCCATGGGATGATCATATCCAAACTCTTCCTCAGATTGGCTCAACAAGTCTTGGAATAAAGGATGGATCAAATATGAAATGGGGATTAAAAACCGCTTCATTCTCTCTCCAACATAGACTGCAAGATATCCTTTTGGCACCTCCACTGCTTTTGAAGTTGCTTGGTTTGCAGCAAATGATGCCTTTCTGATACCGGGTAAACCAAAACCCATGGTTGTATTGTATTTGCTGGGACTTGAGAAGAAAAAGGTCTAAAAATGAGTTGAAAGATTAGAATATTGATTTCTTATGCTTCAGGATATGAAGGGTTTGTGTTGGTTCTAAAATTCTATCAAACATGAATATATATAGCCAAAGGATATGTACGAAGGCTACATGAATTATTGCTGAAGGAGGGCTATGAGGTAGGAGTCATGGCACCAACTGAGAGACAAGGGCATGTGGTAATGTCTTAGAATCAACCTAACATATTATTGTAGATATAGTAGAAGCCCCGCCTTCTGAAGTGAAAGCCATTAGTCTACCCTACTTGAAACAAAACACACGTACCTATCTAAAATAAAGTCTAATAGGATGATGATGACACTTATTTGGGGCAAATGGGACCGCAAACTTCATGTATGCATGTTCACATGGAGGTGCTTAAAATTTGGCATACATAAAAGATGTGATGCATAGTGCTTTATGATCATGTGTTCAATATCGGTTCTTTTCTTCCGTATCCAATTGAGTCTGATATTAGCTGGTGGATGGTAGATATATCAATAACATTGTTTTTAATCTAAAGAAACACGCATGTGTGATGTCTAAAGCATGTCTTCCATTGAAATAGCTGTAGAATAATGAATGAATGAGCATTAGCTAGCTTTCAACATTTCTGATATCTTTAACTTCAAGTGAGTAAATTTGTTAGCCATTATCTCAGAAGGTGGGGCATGCACTCCCGTTGAACTTCCTAATCCTTGAAGGAGATATCTAAGACAATACCATGTGATCCCATGTCTCTTGATAGACTCCATAATAGTCCAGCCAAAAATCATTAATTTTGGTTTTGGATTACAAAGGCCATTGGAAACTATATATACAGCATTTCTTCGGTTCTCAAGCAACACAAGTCATTCCATTTCTCAAGTACCAAAATCCAAATATTTCCTTGTATACAAGTCCTCTGACATCAGTATATTATTTGTTGTGTGAAGCAATATAGAAAACAATGGGTTTCCGCATAGCAGGTATTATTAGACGAGCATCATTTTCTACAACAATAGCAGCCTGCAAGGGCATTGAAGTACCAAAAGGCTATCTTGCTGTTTATGTTGGAGATAAGATGAGGCGGTTTGTGATTCCAGTATCATACTTGAACCAACCTTCATTTCAAGAATTACTTAGTCAAGCAGAAGAAGAATTCGGATACGATCATCCAACTGGCGGTCTCACAATTCCTTGCCACGAGGATGAGTTCCTAAACATCACCACTTGCTTGAAAGAATTGTAAATCATACTAATGGAAACTGAGATAGATTAGATGAGGAATATTTGTACAGCTGGCACTTTCTTTTATTGTAAAGGTTTTATGTTTTGATCTCTTGTAGAATTCTGTTTTGAAATTGAAACATGTTGCTGAATGAGAATGCAACACAAGACATTCATTAACCACATTTTGGCTTTTCACAATCTCAATGAATTCTTATATGCACGAGTATCATTATCCAATTCCAGTCCATGTATGTTTTAATACGGATTTGTTTGTTGTTTGGTCAAATGTTTAGGTAAAAAGGAGTGTTTATCTTTATTTTGTGGAGATTTACTGTAGCATATCTCCCTTGTCATATATTGGTGTAATGTAACTCTACGTTGTGTGTGAAATGAATAATGAAATTGTGTGTTCACTTTTCTTCCTTTCATTGAAACACCAAAAAACAGAAACTTAACTTCTCTGTTCCAGTTTTTCTGTTTCAACTTCTCTGTTCTGGTTTTTTTTTAACAATTATGCCACTTTTTGGTAGATTGTTATTTTTTTAATGTGACTCATTCAGTTCCTGGCCTCTTGTGCTTAATTAGTATCACAGAATACTTATCTCAAACTAATATGGTGTTTTCTTGCAATGCTATCTTCCCGGCATAATCATTCATCATTTCCAATGGGACGACAGTTTGTGGAATATACATTAGTTTAAGAAGTGTATATACATGATTTGATGGGTTTGCAAAACTTTTGCATTTCGAAGTGTATGAAGTTAATAAGTCTTTTGATATCATTATGTTGTTTTAGTGTGAAGTGTGATATAGAGCAAAGGATTTAGCTTATCAGGATTTAGACTGTTATCATTTTCTGAAACGTCAGCAACCACCAATGGGTTAAAGAATCAAATGTGTTAAAGCAGTTAAACTTTTCCTTTCTGTTTTGTTATTGTAATAATTATGATTCCTTGTGTTAACTGCTAACGTTTTGAAATAATTATATTTGCTTATTTTAATGAATAATGTCATGTTAAGTATCTTATTTTGGACAACGCACCTAATGATAATGAATACATATGTTTTGCTGATAGCATGTATGAGTATGATGTATGACTGTTATTTCTCATGTATTTACCTTATATATGAATGAAAAATATGCAAAATAGTATGATTAATTATCCACCAAATAAAAAATTGTTATGTTTCCTCACCTTTCCTCCACTATGTTGTATGGCTTTTATGTTTACTAGATTAGATATTAACACTTATAGTTACTAGATTAGATATGTTATAATTTTTAAAAAATAGAAATAATTAAAAATTAAAAAAAAAACATTATATTAAATATTAAAATTAAATAACAGTAGAAATGTTATTAAATTTATAGGTAAAGATATATTTGTTTATAAAAATTATATTAATTATATTAATTAATTTTTAATATATTTATATGTGATATAATTTAGAGTTTTTATATAATGAATAAATAATTATTTGAAATTGAAGTATAATGATAAATTATGCATGAGTTTTTCAAATCTAAATATATTGCAAAGTATAAATTTAAATAATATTTTAAATTCATTTAATAATATAAATATGTGTATAGGGTATCAAATATTGAAGAAAATAATGAAAAAATTAAAATTTGTATCAAATATTGTAAATACAAATATTAATTTATACAATTGTGCCAAAAAAATTGATAGTTATAATCAAATATTGTTATAATTTATAATTAATAAAAATAATTTTAAATTGTAATTAATTAGAAATTACTATTGGTAATTAATTTGTAATTAAGAGATATTAACTATAATTTAATTTAGTAAATAATGAAAAATAATAATTTATTTTATTTATTGATAACTTGACATTTTATTTTTTATAATTCTTTATTATCACTTTGTACAATATCTCATATGATCTCTTTAGCATTGCACATGTTTTTCTCAAAGAAAAATGAAGTTTAGAAGAATTTAAAAGTAAAGAAAATGACAATAGATATTAATAAAAACAAAAAAAAATGATTTATAATTAGAATGAAAAAAAATAAGAGGTAACAATTTAAATATCAACTACAAGAAGTAAATGAAATATGAGAAGGAATGAATACTACCAAAAGTTACAACAAAATGCAATGACATTCAAATTATTTTTATTTCAATCAATTAAAGTTATATAAGAAAAAATTATAAAGATTGTAAAATAAAATTTAAATAATTATAAAAATATAGTTTCAAAAAAGTAATTTTAAACTCTTATAAACAAAGAAAAACATACAAATTAAAATAATGGAGGAAATTTTTAAAAATGAAGAAAAACTTCAATTCCATGATTCTCGCAAAGTTTGGGGTTCTAGTCCATAATTCTCCCAAAGTCCATTATTTAATTCCATGCAAAATCCTATAGTGTGATGTTGTCTCATCTATTAGGGTTCGTACTGTTACATCATCATCAATAATCCATAGTTCAAATTCATGAAAGATTTGTGCAATGTTACCCCCATCCATAAATATCTTATGGTGCAAGGTTGCCTCATCACCAATAATACACAGTGCTACCTCATCCATATAATAAGTTAAGAAGACATTTAGGAATAAGTCATTTGTAAAATTGAATGAGAAAAAAAAACTAATAGAATAGAAATGGATGACGTCTTATCCTTATCAAGCATGATTTTGACATGAAAAGGTTGATGTTGGCATCATCACATTTGGCCAAGGTGAAGGCAATGTTGAAAAGGAGGACAGAGACATCATATTATGGAGGAGGTAGTTGTTGAAGAAGAAGTGGAGTGTGGCAACGATAATGGTAGGGTTGTCAATCTGCCCAAAAGAGGAAAAAATAGTAGAAATGGATGACCTCTTATCCTCATTAAGCATAATCTTGGCACAAAGAGGTTGATGTTGATGTTGCATTTGGCCGAGGTAAAGGCACTGGAGGGTAGGAGGATAGTGGCGTCATATTGGGGAGGAGGTAGTCATTAAAGAAGAGATGGAGTGTGGCAACATCAGTGGTGGGACTATCAATCTAGCTACTTGAGAGGTGTAATAGAAGCTAGGTTTTTTTGAAGTGGTGGATTTGTAGCTAGGTTTTCAAAAGTGGATGTGTGGTTAGGTTTACATAGATGGAGATATATTAGAAAAAGGAAGAAATCGTAAAATGATATGTCATGACAATGTTTAAAGTTTATTTTCTAATGAAGTGTTGTCGTATATTATAAATAGATAAAATGGCTCCAGTCCTATTGTCTATTCTAATAGTGGTATATCCAGAGTTTTGTTCTTATATATAGGTTGTTGTCAAAAAAAATTAAGAAAAGAAATTAAACACTTGTGACCGATAAAATGATTTCAGGGAGTAATAGTGTATTTGTTGTTCCTTAATTTTCTGGAAAAAAAACCAAACACATGGATTATCAAAATGAGATTGATCATATTTAAAGTTTTTTGATTTATGAGAGTATTTAGATCAAGTAAGTTTCATCATTGAAGGGTAAATGTGTGTTTTGGCATCACACCAATTTTTTTTTTTTGTTCAATAATACCAGCATTACAAAAAAAAATTGACAATTTTTTTATAAACCATGTAACATTGATTGTTCACCATTGTTCATTTTTTTTAATCATTGTCATCATTTTATTCTTTTTTTTTTTGCATGTTGTGGTATGATTTACTTGTATTATGCGTAACAAATGAAATTGTGTTTTATGATGACTTTGGTTTTGACTTAAATGATGTTTTAATTTGGAGTTGATAAATGCTAGATCTTAGATATGATTAAGGTGGGTAATACTCAATGTTCTTTCTTATATTGCTATAGATGTTATAGCTTATCTCTATTTATTTTTTTCACTTTTTCAACTACATTATTCATGTAAAATATTTATCATTTTTTGTTGATTAATTAATTTTCAACAGAGAATCTAGATAGATATATTTAGTAAGGTTTTTCCTTCTAATGAGTCGTTGGTCTCTATTTTTTCCATTGATATTTTCTTTTGTAAATCTTGTCTTCGATTAGAATACTTCTAATCTATTTATATCAATAAACTTTTGCTTATAAAATATTAATTAACTCCCTTACATGGTAAGATCAACAGTTTTCACCCCCTAGTTTTAGTGTCGGTTCAGACTTATTCACATTGTTTTAACTGTTGCTATAGTTTAGAACATCTATAGAAAGAATTTAATTAGCTTTTGTGTGCCAATGCTACTAGCACAGTGGATGAGTTATAGTTAAAAATCACAATTAATGCTCTCAAAACAAGTACTAATTCCAAGGTTTCGCGTTATGAGATCTTTTCCTGAATGTGCAGCATGCTTGATTTCCAACTCCTGTTATTCAAAATAAAACTCAATTGTATTTGAAATTGCACTCTTTTTTCAGTTAAAGAAAAACGAGAACTCAGTTGTGTTAATTAAGTTATACTAATAGTAACAATATCAAACAGACAACGTTAATAGCTCATTAAACCTTTGTATCATAAAAATGCATGCCCGTTTTATTTCCCACTCCGAAGAATTCTCTTCACCCTTGTCTCAATAAACCCTACCCTTGCCACGTAGAAGACACGCCTAAGACTCCTTCAAAATGCACCCTCTAATAACCTTCCTACATTCTCTCACGATCAATACCTTCCACTAATTTCATCAACTTTCCAAGCTGTGAATAAATCAAAACCTACCCATTTTGACACCCTTGACCTTTCCATTTTTTTTATTTTTTATTTTTCATTTTCATCCTTTTTTATTTTTTTTCTATATACTTCTCTTTTAGTCATTCCTCTTTCCTAATAATCTTCCAAAACACAATAACCACCAACCACCACCTTTCCATTCCCACCTTATATATCTCTCTCTCACACATACTCTCTCTCTTTCCTTCATAACATTTTGACACAATTTTGGTTTCCCTCCCTTCATTCCTCAATGGGCAACTGTTGCTCTCAAGGCAACGCTGCCGATGGCCCGGAGGACAACATGGCCGCCAATGACAAGGGAGAAACCAACCAACAAGGTAGCAACCATGGCAAAAATGACAACGACAATAATAATGACACCGGGGACACTACTACAACCACCCCACCATCAACATCAGCGCCACCAACCTCGGCCTCCCCGCCAGCTACTTCCAAACCCACGAAGCCCTCCGCCATGGGTCCAGTCCTCGAACGGCCCATGGAGGATGTGAGGGCTACGTACACCATTGGGAAGGAGCTGGGGAGAGGCCAGTTTGGTGTGACACATTTGTGCACGGACAAAGCAACGGGGCAGCAATTTGCATGCAAAACAATTGCCAAGAGGAAGCTTGTGAACAAGGAGGACATAGAGGACGTGAGAAGAGAGGTACAAATCATGCACCACCTTTCGGGTCAACCTAACATTGTGGAACTAAAGGGTGCATATGAGGACAAACAATCGGTGCATTTGGTCATGGAGCTTTGTGCGGGTGGTGAACTTTTTGATCGTATCATTGCTAAGGGACACTACACTGAACGTGCTGCGGCTTCCTTGTTGAGAACCATTGTGCAAATTGTTCATACTTTCCATTCCATGGGTGTCATTCATAGAGATCTTAAGCCTGAGAATTTCCTCTTGTTGAGCAAGGATGAAAATGCACCCCTCAAGGCCACGGATTTTGGTCTATCCGTCTTCTTCAAAGAAGGTATATATTTCTTATGAATATTTTTCTCTTCTTCTTCACACCCTTTTTTATAATTATTTTTCTTTGGATTAATTGCAAGAGGTAACACTTTAATTTGTGTTGCAGAATTAGTTAATACCCGTTAATTTGTTGTTTGGTGCTAATTTTAAAAATAATTTATCCAAACATGTTAGCAAATTTTGAAAGTATTTTTATTTTCGAGAAAAATATATTTTTAAAGAGAAAAACTCTCAAACAAATGCACTCTTAATTAATTAGCATAGACTAAAATGATTTTTTAATGTTTAGATAGCTCCATCTCGTGTTCTTAACTGACATTGATAAAACTCATACATTTAACGTTAGAGTTTAATAAGATACTTTTTAAATCTTCATTCAAGGAGATTGAGGTTAAAACATTAGAATCTTAGCTTGGTGATCAAAAGGTACCACCACATACTTTGTGATGAAGAAAATGATTAATATGTATGCTTGCATGAATGTTTGGAATATTCAGATCATCTTTTTTATTCCTTTATATGCAACATGAAGCAGGTTTTAATAGCTAACTTTTTATTATTTAATAGGAGAGACGTTCAAAGACATTGTTGGTAGTGCATATTACATTGCTCCCGAGGTTTTGAAGAGGAAATATGGGCCAGAAGTTGACATATGGAGTGTTGGTGTCATGCTATACATTCTTCTTTGTGGTGTTCCTCCATTTTGGGCAGGTCTGTATTCCATCTTCTCATTTTTTTCAAAGTAACCACTTTATGCAGAACGTCGACTAAAGAGAAATGTTATCAATGCATTTTTTTTAATACACCTTTTAGAACATTTTCGGATATTAATCAAAATTTATTGAAAATCACAAAATTTTATAATTTCATTTCTTATTTAATAAATCTTACTTATGATGATGTAAGTTTTAATATTAAAGGAGTATTACTAACACTTATCTTATTTTAAAGAATAAGATATTAATGCATTTGTTTTAAATTACTGTTGAAGTGATGGTTGTGATTGCATTATAATAGCAAAATTGCGAAAAATCAGGACCATAATTGTCATGTGAGAAACATAAAATTCACAATATTAAAAGAATTTGCAAACTGCAATTTAAAAACTGTAGTATATTTTAAAATACAGAGTAAAGACTCAATTTCATCTCTGAAGAAGTTTGTTGGGCATACCAATCCTTAGCAAAGTAAAATTTTCATTTTAGTTCCTGAAAAGTCACAAATTTTGGTTCTATATTGTGGACTAATAAGACCTGTCTTTGTGATTTAGTTACGAATGTGAGCTTTTAATATTATCTGGGACTAAATTGAATATTTATTCTAATATACAAATAACACTTCTAAAATCTGTTGTGTGCTTAAACTGAATAAGTGAATTTGTTTGACTATGACAGAATCCGAACATGGTATATTCAATGCCATCCTAAGAGGCCACATAGATTTTACAAGCGATCCATGGCCTTCAATTTCACCTGCAGCAAAAGATCTTGTGAGGAAAATGTTGAATTCAGACGCCAAACAGAGGCTGACAGCATTCGAAGTTCTAAGTAAGCATATATTATATTCTTCACTGTTTTTGTTTCAATTTCAATTTCTTTTCTTACAAATCGCTTGAATTCATTTACGATTTCATGTTTTACTAACGAAATCAATTCTAATAAGCAACAAACTTTTATGTTGAATACAGATCATCCATGGATCATGGAGGATGGAGAAGCACCAGATAAACCACTTGACAATGCTGTGCTGAATAGGCTCAAACAATTCAGAGCAATGAACCAATTCAAGAAAGTTGCTCTAAGGGTACTATGTTATTCTGGCCTTATTCTTATTAAGATATTTCTTTTAATACCTTCAGTTAAAATTGTTTTAGCCATTCTAGCTTGAAATAGTATAATGATTCTAACCAACAATTTTTGTTAGTATATTTCTCTTGCTCCAGATTGCATGTTATAGAGTCTATGAACAAAGCAACATAACATTAAAATTTACAAATGAATAGGTTATTGCCGGATGCCTATCAGAAGAAGAAATCATGGGTTTGAAGGAAATGTTCAGGGGAATGGACACTGACAACAGTGGAACCATTACAATTGAAGAACTCAAGCAAGGGCTTGCAAAGCAAGGGACAAAGCTGACAGAACAAGAAGTTAAGCAATTAATGGAAGCTGTAAGTTATTCTTCACCCCAATTTTTCATGCAACTGAAAAACCATAGCACCAATTCCAATAGCACTTTTAGACCACAATCATCTACCCACACATTTCTCATTCTTCCACAAATTACAGGCTGATGCTGATGGCAATGGAACCATAGATTACGACGAGTTCATCACGGCAACAATGCAGATGAACCGTTTGAACAGAGAAGAACATCTTTACACTGCCTTCCAATACTTTGATAAAGACAATAGCGGGTAAGAAATTCTACTAGATTGAATATATTTGCAAGGCAACACCTTGAAAACTACTTGATGAGTTATAAAATCAAGGTTCTATTCTAAGATCATTTTTATGCCACAAAAATCAGGTTCATTACCATTGAAGAACTAGAACAAGCTCTCCGCGAGTTTAACATGCATGATGGCAGGGACATCAAGGAAATCCTTCAAGAAGTTGATGGAGATAATGTAAGAGATACATATAATTTACTGCATAGTTCTAGTTTTTAATGGAAATTACTTCATGTGAGAATGGATCCTGCTATGTACAATACATTACATGTTATGTTCAAACTTGGTGTTTATCTCTCTCAAATAAATGTTAAATACACCTTATGTATTTAATGTTTAAGAGATAGAGATAGACACGAATTAAACATGACCTTGTTATGCTAAAATTTAACACAGGAGGATCCATTTCCTTTTCATTGCATATTTACATAGTTAGTAACTATGAGGAAATTGTTATGCTGTACAGGATGGTCTCATTAACTATGATGAGTTTACGGCTATGATGAGAAAAGGAAATCCAGAAATTATGACAAAGAAGAGGCGTGATTCAATGCCTTTGTCTTAGTGGGGGGACTATGAGGGAAGATGTGAAAGGGTTCTTCTGTTTTCAGTCCTTGGTTTTCTTCAGTGGGGAAGCTGTTGGGTGAAGTAAAGAATGATCATGGACTGCATTGCATCATGGCTTTGTTGGTTGGGAGGGGATATAGATGAGGAATGGGACAAGGGTTGAAACAAAAATCTAAAAAGAAATGAGGGAAGGGGAGACAAGAACAAACTAATCTTTGAGAAATGTTAAGATACACTAGGTGGTTGGTTGGTTAACATTTTTTTTTTCTTTTGCTTTTTCCTTACCTGTGAAAAATTGTAACATGTCATGTATTGGTATTGCTTCTCACATAATTAGGAATCAAAAAAGGGTGATTGTTTATGTATTATTTCCTTTTCAATGCTAGGCATGAATAGTTAGTGCCAGGTTTCATTATTTTATGACTTATATATGATGATCTTGCTCACAGAAAACTGAGAAGGATCTAGTTGGAGACACTTTAAAGGAACAGAATACAATTTTTTAAATTTAAGAGACCAAATTGAAACCTAAAAGTAAAGATGAGGGACTCAATGTGTATTTTATCTTCTTAACAATTTCTGAATTCATCACATACCAGAACTTAATGGCAGCTCTTCACCCGTGTCAGTTTCTAAGATTAGATGACCTAAAAAGGAATTTAAACCAGCTACCACATTTCAGAAAAATATCTTGATAAGGAAGAACAAAATGCTAAGAATATCATATACAGGCTTTCATTTACAGACCGTATGATTGGAATCTTAACTTAAAATCTTGTGCAAAAGAATGACCAAGGTAGAGTAAGTTTAAGTGAAAAAAAAAAAAACTCTGGCCAATTTTATGGTACAATAGATAAGTACTATATATAGATTGAATCTGGATTTGTCTTAAACAAAGGATGCAATATTAAATAACCTCTTAACTATACTGAAGATACATGATGTATGATATTTGTACACATTGTTTCACAAGCCCTGAGTTAATATGTGATCTAATTGTAACTTCATTTAAATGGTCTAAATTTTCACATCATATATACAACTGATATGGTAAGTTCATATTAAGAGAGTCATTAGCCATATGCATGATATCAATCAGACTCTCTTTGGATATAGCTTAGAAAGACTTTTGAAAAAAGTATTTTTCAGTAGAAGAGTTGTTAAAAGTCTTTCTACACTTGTATTCAAACATGTTCATAAGCATCTGAGACCAACCGAGGGCTAACCACGGCTGACAGAGGCACTGCCTTTTGCAAAGTGAGTCCAAAGGCCTCATCCATGTTTAGTTCTACCCCATTTGGTAACTTCCAGTCAAAAGAATGCACCAAAATGCCCAAAATGTACTCAACAACCCCAATGGCCATTCTATACCCTACACAAATCCTTCTTCCAGCTCCAAAGGGCATCAACTCAAAATCAACTCCACTTGGATCAATTTTTGCACTCTTCCCTCTAAGAAACCTCTCTGGATTGAACTCTAGTGGGTTGGACCACACATTGGGGTCTCTCCCTATGGCCCATATGTTCACATTTAATCTAGTGTTCTTGGGGATGTAGAATCCATTAACTTGGCATGCTTCATTTGCCACCCTGGGGACACCAAGGGGTGTAGATGGGTGCATCCTATATGTCTCCTTGCAGATTGCTTGAAGGTATGGTAAATTTGGTAGGTCAGATTCAGCAAGTAGTCTTTGTCTGCCTATCACTTGATCCATCTCTTTCTGTGCCCTTGTCAAGATGATGGGGTTTTTCAACATTTCAGCCATTGCCCATTCTATGATGCTAGATGATGTGTCTGTGCCTGCAGTGAACAAATTCTTCATAGGAAAAGATACATTTCAGCTATTGCCCATTCTATGATTAGATATATATGCAAAGGTTAAATGAAATCAACGTCTTGGTAGGAAAATGTACATTTGAGGTCGAGTATGCTAAGCTTGATTAAAATCAATGTCTTGCGTATGTAACATTTTTGAGGAAAAGTTGATTTATATACATCTACTTGAGAACTTTAGAAATAAGTAGACACAAAATAGTGCACTTAGATAGTGAGTTTGTCATCAATGGAAAATATTAGATCAAATGTATCTTTCACGAGAGATAAATAATCTTTCTCAGATAGGACTATTACTAATTGGGGCGAATCATATCATTAGCAAATATTAGATATTGGATTTGAGAAATTTCTCATTTATGATTTAATTAGTTATTTGGTTTGCACCAAAAATATCTTCCTGGATATTATTAACTAATTATTTTTTAAATGTACAGATGAGCACAATAGGTTTTTGACTCTCCCAACAAAGTCATCTTTATACATAGTTCGAAATCAAACTCTTTTTAACATACTTTAAAAAATTCAATTATCTTGAAACTGGAAATTTCATTTGAACTATATACTAATACTACTAATATACTAACACTACTAGAATTTCTCTTATTACATGCGACTTTTTCTGCAAATTTTTCATAAAAATTCGCAAGAAAAGTTGTTCCCGCAAATTTTCCTGCGAAATTTTATCTGCAGGTAATACCCTGAAGAACTCGTGATTGTCGGCAAAAGTCCGGCTGGACGAGTATAAATAACTCAATTGAAAAAACTCGTCACTGATTGGTTAAATTCTGACTTGGCGAGTATAAATAACTTGAAGAACTCGTGATTGTCGGCAAAAGTCCGGCTGGGCGAGTATAAATAACTCGATTGAAAAAACTCGTCACTGATCGGTTAAATTCCGACTTGGCGAGTATAAATAACTTGAAGAACTCGTGATTGTCGGCAAAAGTCCGGCTGGGCGAGTATAAATAACTCGATTGAAAAAACTC